TAATGGTACACGAACCCAGTATTAATGGTGTTGGTTACAAATTAAGGCCTTCTTCTAGCAACAGTAATAGTAATAATAACAACAACGGTAGTGGTATTGGTATCCCCATTAATAATAGTATGATGAATAATAGTATGAATACTATGATCCCAAATAACCCCAATATCCCAACACCTCCCGAGACTCCTCTACCATCACCTCCTGCTCAAAGACCTATAAGGTTTAATTCATCATCACCACCAAATTATTATCACCATAATCATCATCCATCAAATCATTTACTACCATCATTATTCAATCATAATCATAATAGCAACCAATATCATAATAATCATAATCATAATCAATATCAATATCATAATCATAATCAATATAATTCACATCAAATATTTAATAATAATAATATGATCCCACCACAATTACCACCGTTAAACAATCATTATCAACAACAACAACAACAACAACAACAACAACAATTTTCTTCATCTTCTCAACTATCAACAATGTTATCATCATCTGCATCATCATCAATATCATCTTCTAATCCATCAATTCCACATCCACTCCCTCCAATCCCAAGTTCGTCATCATCATCACCATCACCATCAGTATTATCACCTCCACCTCCTCAACAACAATTATTAACATCTTCGATAACATCATCATCATCACCTTCAATATCATCAATAACATCATCAACAAAATCATCATTAATATTTAATGATGATAATAAAATATCATTTCCAGTTTTACCACCTCCTCCAGCACTTGATATTAATTTCAATACAACAACTTTTGATTCCATGTCAAGTTATGATAGAAATATGTGTAAAGCATTTGATGTTACAGTGAATTATAAATAAATAAATATATGATGTAGTGGGTTGGTCAATAATTATAATTATAATTACCGTATTATTACGATGACAATTAATTTTTATTTCTTCATTTTAATTTTAATGTGGGGACTTGGGGGATAATTTTTTTTCATATTTTTCATATTAGTAAATTTTAAAAATGTTTTTCATTATCATCATTCATCATCATCATTATCATCATCACATCATCATCATCATCATCATCATCATCATCATCATCATCAACAACAACAACAACCAACAACAACAACATCATCATCATCATCATCATCAACAACATCATCATCAACATGTTTAAAAAATATCATCAAATTTAAAAAATTAATTTAATTTTAGTTTTTTATTTTTTTTCTTAATGTTAAATAATAACATTAACATTTGATATAATAATAGTAATAATAATAATAATAATAATAATAATAATAATAATAATAATAATAATAATAATAATAATAATAATTAACATTTAATAATAATAATAAATATTTTCTCTATGCATATATAAAATAAATATAAATATTTAAATATATACATAATATATAAATTGTTTTATAAGATTTTTTTCTTTTTATTGTAATAAAGATTTTCATTAAAAAATAAATAAAATTAATTTTTTTAAATATTATAATTAACGATTCGCATTTCCGATGGATGACCTTTATTCTCGTACTAAAAATAAGAATAATTATGGTTACAATTATTATTTTTTATCATTATTATTTAGTATATTGATTGATCTTTTTGAACACAAAATAAACATCGCGCAAATCGTACACACGAACATATTAATAATATTATTATTATTATTTGTTACTGCCGACTTTCCGAAATCCTGGAAATGCTAAGTTTTTATAATGAATGTTTCAGAATTTTACATTCATTTATTTATTTTTGTTTTTCACATGCATCAAATTGAACATGAAATTAATTGATCATCGATAAGAAAATCAAAGTTACACAAAAAATCAAGCGAATAATTAATTTGACATGCATAATCTAATCTTTTTAATATTAATATTATTAAAAATTTCCGTTATGATAATATACAATAATAATAATAAATAACATAAACATAAGCACAATCCTCACGCATAGATTATTATTAAATCCTTTCTTACTACAGGTTCAATTCTATTTTGCTTAATTTGTTAGATTGGAAAAAAATGTAAGAAATAATTTTAGTGTAAATTTCGTGCTATCTATAGCATATCAATCAATACGTAAATAATATGGAAGTATTATCTGTATATTTATGCAAGGGATGAAATTTAATTTTAAAATTTAAAAACAATAATAATAATTGTTAATAGGAGTATAAATCAATCAATTAGAACAATGTAACATTCATTTTCCTCTTTACTGCTTACTACTTATCTCTTTGTATGTTTTTCCAACGAATATAAAATAATTGTTTTATCAATCAATCACGAAAGCAGGAGAAAAATATTAGTCGTCGATCTATCAAATCATGTGCTGCAGTGTAACATTCTTTAGCCAATGAATATTTTCATCGGCAAAGGAATTTATTAATAAAAAATAATTTATTCAAAAATTATACCAAAGAAAACCAAGACCCAATAAATAAATAAAAATTAATTAATAAATAAGAAAGAAAGTAAGTGAGGAAGTAAGAAGACAAGTAAATAGCTACTAATTAAAAAAACAATTAAAAAAAAATCAAAATATTTAATAGTATACAATTTCAGGATTTCAAAATTAATTACAAAGATTAAACCATTCAAATAAAGTTCATAATAAAATCCATAATTTTTTAATAATAATGATATACAAAGTGCATTTTTAAAATGATCCATGAGAATTTTGTGAAATATTGTTGTGAGTGTAGAAATTATTTGTTGCAATAATTGTCATATTGTTATTAGCAATGAAATTTCTATTATCATTTTGGTATAAAGTAATTGAATTAATTGGTGTAGGATGGAATACTGAAGATGAAGATGAAGAGGCCGAGGAAGATGAAGACGAAGAAACGGATGTGGCAGTGTTGTGTAAAGTTAGGTGACTATTTGGAAGGAGGATATTTTTATTATTATTATTATTATTATTATGAAATGGTTGCAAACGTTTATAAATTACTTCGGTTTCTTTTTCACGAAATTCGTTATAAAGTATGTTGAATGCTATGGCAGATACGTGATCTTTTGCATCATTTTTTTGCCAAAAAGCCAATTCTGGTGTAAATAACCGTCCACCAATCATACAATCATACAAATAATTACCACGTCCATCATCTCTTATATTATAAGTTGGATGTGCTAATTTATGCATTTGACAAAATTCCAATAATAATACACAAGGTCTTTTTATTGAACCAGTGCTGGCCTGTGCAACTTGTTTTTCGTACCATTGAACGGATTTTGGAATTAATTCTAGAGGATGTGGTGGAATAATTTGTTGTTGTTTTATTTCAGTTCGAATGTTTTTTGTTTTCTGATTAGCTGAAATATGTGCTTTTACTAATTCGTACCGAATTAATTTTGTTAAATCTGGTTTCCTGGCTGATAAATCTTTCATTGCTATATTGGCTGCTGCTTCCTTAGCCTGTTGTTTCTTTGATTTGGCTACTTGATTCTGATATATTTGTCCATCAAATTCAACTTGACAATAAAAGTGCCCCGTCATTGGATCGTGTGTGAAATTGTAAACAGGTGCACGTTTTAGTTTCATTTTTTGATGCATGGTGTTCAAAAATGATATAGGATTTATACATTGATAAGACTCGTCATGATCAACAACATCGTCTAATGATCTCGATGCTTGGACAGAAGTTTCTGATTGTTGTAATAAAGATATTTCTTGAGATAAATTGGTCATAACTAATTGTTTCCCTTCTTCTTGCTGTTCTTTTTGTGCTTCTGAAACCTCTCTTTCCCCATCTTTTTCTTGTTGTCGTTCTATCTGTTCTTGTTCTCCTTTGTCAAATTGTTCTTCTTTATCAAATTGTTTTTCTTCAACAGATTCTTCTTCTTTATCAGATTCTTCTTGTTCACGATCGTCAGATTTTGTTGTAATATTTTTGACAGATGTTTCTTCAATATTTTCCGGCTCATTTTCTTCGTCCGTTTGAACTATTGTGGAAAATGAACTTGAAGCCTCAAAGTCATTGTTATCGCTTTCGCTGCTGCTACTGCTAGAATTTTCAATCAAAGACATTTTTTTTAAAAAAAATAAAGGCTATAATGTCTCAATTATTATTATTATTATTTATTATTATTATTTATTATTATTATGAAAAAACTTTTAAAGTCCTTATAATATATTATCCCTACTCTATTATTATTATTATTTTGAACCATACAATTTTTCTAATTATTCTGGAGTAATCTAATAATGAATGATGATGATTTCCTTTACTTTTTTCAAGAGTAATTTAATAAATGGTTATTTCGTGTAGCGTAGCACGTGTATATTTTTGGTATTTAAATGTACACAACAAAATGTTCGTTCGTTACACGAAACCTCGGGAAATTCTTGCGTTAAAGTTCACTATTATGAAATGAATGAATAATTATGTTTGTTACGTTATCATGAAATTTTGGATCATTTTCTGCTTGAATACACACTCTTTATGTATAATGAATGGCTAACGCTCTTAAAACTTAATATCAAGCATTTGACCTCTCTTTATTTATTTCCTAGATGCAAAAAACAATTTATAGATGCTATATTCAAATATATATTTATGAAACATTGTCTGCATGATTACAAATTAATACCTATTCTAATACCTTGTATACTTTGTAAACAAAAGTTAGAATCTTCTTCTATCTATAAGATATATACTATTTTGGGATGAAATTGGAAAAGTAAAGGATGATCTTTTTGGAGAAAATTACAACACCCTTATTGCAACCACACGAAAATGCTATGCTGATCTGGGTTCTGGTAAGGTACTTTGTATGTTTGATGAAGCTTCTTGGCTATTGGATCCCAGTACTGTTCCATATGATAAGTACACATATATTGGTTAATAGGTAATTTATCTTAATATCTAATATTAACATGATGTTTAACTATCATTGTAAAGATGACCATAATAACTTTCCATATAGAAGGTGCAGAAGAGCACTATCCAGGATTGGAGACTGCATATTTGGAATAATGACAGATACAAATTCAAGTATTGGAAATTTGGTTCCTAAAGAAAGTGATGATAAATCTGTAAGATTTACAAATAATTTTTTCATACACAGTTTCTTATTTCTTCATTTATTTACTGTTATATTTTATAGACAAAAAAAGTTGGAGATGATGTGAAGACTCTTTTAGGCCCATTTATACATATTGCATCAACAGATATATACAGGTTTGAATTTTTTGCTCACTTAATGATGCTTAGAATGGATTATGGACACTAATGAAATTTTTTGGTAGTGATAAAACAAAATTACCCCAAGAAGTTGATGTTTTGAGAGAAATGATGGGATTTGATCTTTGTTTATATGTGCGTCCACTTTGGATGGCAAATCTTGTAGCAACAGGTGACATTAATGAGACTATATCTTTGGCTAGGAATAAAACTGACTGGGTCAATTTTGCCCTCAGTGTTGGGAAACAACAATAATTATGAAAAAAAATGCATAACTGCTTTATCACATTTTGGTTGTACTGTAGGCCTTTATCTTTGTCCTAGAGCAAAATTACCTTCTCAATTAACTTGTAATCATATGGCAACTATAACTTATGTTAATGAAAATAGAACAGAGGTGTTAATTTATTATCCATCAGAACCCATTTTAGCTGAAGCAGCACTGGTGACTTTGCAAAATGACTATTATCGAAAAGCTGCAATAACAGTATTGAATAATACAATTTCTATAGATGGAATAGTTAATTCTGGTGACCAAGGAGAACTTGGCATGAGAATCATTTTGCTGACTACTTGGATGCACTGTATTAAAAAAAGAGGTAGTATTTTATTTTTTTCTTGTAGAACACCTGTCAAGGACTTCATGGAAGCACTTTTTCCCAGATTTGGAAAAATTAAGGATCATCACGATACATGGAAGGATTATGAAATTGGGTTTACACATTTCATCCAAATTACATATAAACCAGACTTGGATACATTTGAGAAAGTTTGGATGCATTATGATGCAATAAATCTAAAATATAATCATCAAGGTGGTGATATTCTGTTGGTTATCAAGCATAAAAATAAAAATGAATTTGGATGTATTGTCATTCAGGTGGTATTACTCATTTTCATATATTTTGCAAATATAATTTATATAAATTTGCTCATTGATGATGTGCACTATTGTTATTGGTTAGGTGAAGAATTGGGCAGTTGTGAATCAAAATATATATGATGATGTTGGCAGAAAATTAGAAATAAACTATATCCTGAGTAATAATCTGGCAGATATTGTTAAAAATAATTTTTATTTAGCTATTTATGTTCAAATTGGTAAGAAATATAAGTACATTTTTTCATCTCCATGTTGAACTTTAAATTTATATATATTTTTTCTCTGAACAGGCAGGGCATTTACAGTTGATACAGAAGTCATTTGTTATAATTATGGAAAATTTTCAGGAAGTTGGAAACTCAAACAAGCCTCTACAGAAAGTGATGAAAACAAAAAAGATGCAGTTAATAGAACAGTAGTGTTAGGATTGTTGAACTTTTATGAGGGGAGAACTTCTGAGTTTGAAGCAATGAAATCTTTTGTGTGTGCAAGAGATGATCCTTTTGCAAGAGAAGCAAATAGTGAAAACATTAAAAGATCAAGTTTACTATCATGCATGTTACCATTATTTTATCAGAAAAACAAACAAGAATAATTTGTTTAACTGTGTTAATTATAAATTTTATAAGATTAATATGTCACAACTACCTTGATCATTCTTAGCTTTTCAAACATTTATACTTTTGAATTTTCACTCAATTTTCTAAACTTATTGTGCATTAGACTTTCATGAATAAAAAAACAGAGATTTGAAGGGTATGGGTTAGAATTTGTGTTGCACTTGTCTGCAAAATTTCCAAATTCTGCAATTTTAACAATAAAGGAAATTCATTTGCTTTTATTCCATGCATATTTGTTTTTGTTAAAAAACCTACAAAGTAGGGCTTCTATTTGTAATACAAATTCTTATTTGAATTATTTGTAATACAGTTGACCTTTAATTCGAATTAATTATTCAAATAAAAATTTATTTAAATTAAAAAAATTTATTTGAGTTAAAAAAATTCATTCGAATTAAAAAATTTATTCGAATTAAAAATTTAATTCACTTTATTCAAATTATTTGTTTTATTTGTTTTATTTATTATCGGAATCTTGGGTTTGTTCATTCATTTTATTAGATTATTTGAAATCATGGGTTGTTCAATTACTTAAATATTCAAACTATATATACAACAAGGTTTAATATTGAATTATTATTATAAAAATTGAAATTAAAAATGAAACTAATAAGGAAAGACTGAAACAAGATTCATGTTTCTTTTAATAAATAGCAATCTTTCCAATGAGCTTGTATTTAAACTGGTCCTTAGTTATTTGTTTTATCCGAATTAATTTTTTTGAATTATTTGCTTTATTCAAATTAATATTAATATTAATATTAATTTCCTTATTCGAATTAATTTCCTTAATTGAATCAATTTTCTTATTCAAATTAATTTCTTTATTCGAATCAATTTTCTTATTCAAATTATTCGTTTTATTCAAATTAAAATTTATTCGAATAAACTTTCAATGTAATTCAAATACTCAAATTCATAACAAATAAAGTGAATAATTTGAATAAACCAAAATTATATATAGGGATAAGTGTATATGAAAAGTAATAATAAATATAATGGTTCTAATGAATATGAAAATACAATTGATTTTTTAGAAAAAGGATGTAATTGTGGTTGTTCTTCAAAAATTCCTAAGGAAAATTTTGCAGAATTAAGGGAATCCTTTTGAGCTCTTTCTAAATCAGAACAAGACATCTTTTTAATGGCTCAACTTAAGGCAATGGATGGTGGATTAACAAGCACTAGCAGATGCCTTAAAAAGAAAACTAGATCTAATAAAAGGACTTTCTATCACTGAAATCACAATACATTACTTTGTCAAGAAACTTATCCCTATAAAAAATCTGGCATGGAATTTGTATGGAAAAATGCAAATTCAGGTAAAATTCCATGCATTTTTGTACAGAAAAATACAGGAAAATCCCTTGAAAATGTACAGAAAATGTATGAAAGGCGCATTTTCCTTGCATTTCCATACATTTTCCATACATTTTCAAGGGATTTGCCTGTAATTTTCCCATACATTTCCCATACATTTCCATGTCAATTTTTTATAGGGTATCTCAATATGCTAGGAATTGGCAGGACTTACTTTGAAATATTAGAAATCATCTGATAAACAATGGTATTTTACCAAGAATTCATAGTAATATTAAAAGAATGCCTCTATGGAAAACCAAAATGGTGATTGATAAAAATATTGCTGGAGTGGTAAAGAATTTTCTAGAAAATATTGCAGAAGTCCATGGATTACCAAGTCCAGGAAGATGTAACAATAGAATAACTCAATCAATTGTATTCTTACCAGCAGAAATGAGTTATAAATCAGTACATAGAAATTTTCTAGCTGGTCTAGAAGAAGATAGTAATTTGAAATCCTTAAAATATGATGCTTTCAGAAAATTATGACATCAATTGACACCAGAGATTCAAATTATGAGTCCCAGGACTGATCTGTGTGATACTTGTCAACATTTTAGATATGGTTTACATTATAATGCTCACCAAAAAGAAGCCAAAAAAATTACTTAAAAGATTTAAAGAATATTTGTCCAAGGCCAAAGTAGAAAGAAATTATTATAATAAAAACACCAAATTAGCAGAACAAAGGAAATTAGTTAATCAACATTATTCAAAGGGTAAAACACAATATTGTAGTATTGATGCCATGCTCATTATAGTTATGATTGAGCTCAAAATGTTCATGTGCCACGTTTAGATCAACAAGTAAGTAAAATTTATTATCTTAGTCCATGTAAAGTTCATTTATTTGGTATTCAAGATGAAGCAGTAAGGGAACAAATTAATTATGTTCTTAATGAAAATGAAATTATAGGAAAAGGTCCTAATGGCACTCTTAGCATGATTTTTGATGGAATTAAGAAATTGAATAAAGGTGAAAAGCATTTAAAGATTACTTGTGATAATGCTGGTGGACAAAACAAAAATAATGTGACTATTTGATTTTATTTATATTTGGTAATTTGTGGTTATTATGAAAGTATTGAATTGAATTTCATGATTCCAGGACATACCAAATTCAAATGTGATGGTAATTTTGGCATGATTAAAAAACTCTATAGAAGAACTAGAGTAGATTGTCTAGACCATGTTATTGAGGTGATAAAAAAGTCTAGTCCAGCTGGATTGAATAAAGCTCAGTGTTATAAAGGTGGAAAAGGTTTTCAATATTTAGACATTAAAGCAATTTTGGGAATTTATCTTAAGAAATTACCAGGTATCCAGGAATATCAACATTTTCTTTTTGAAGCATGTAATCTTGGTGTGATCAAAGTTCAAGAAGTTGCTAATGGGCCTTTTGCTGAATTCAATTTATTGAAAATTAAGAAAGCAGATATTTTTGAAGAAATTAGAGCTTTATCTATTTTAGTGTTAACACCACCTCCTTTGGATTACAAAAGACAAGAGTATCTTTACCAGAATATTCACCCATTTGTGAAAGATGAATATAAAGATATCACTTGTCCAAGGCCATTCTATACTGGTAACAAATAAAATATTTAGAACAAAAACACCTTCATTACTTTATCACACTCATTAATTTGTCCTTTACTGTCATTAAGTTAATCTTTCAATGAATATTCCACTTTTTTAAAGTAAAAAAGTACTAAAATAATTTATATAATTAACATACCCTCATAAAAAGGTTATAAGTATATATTAAAAAAATAAATAAAAAAAAGGAACAAACAAGAAAATCATGACAAACATCCTAAAGAACTATTAAATGAAATCAAAACATTAAAAATTTATTAGCTGATAAAAATCAAGAATTTAAACAGTTGAATAATGAAGAAATCAGACAGTGAATAGCCACTGTTTTAAAAGAATCTCATTACACTGACAATCCTGATGTAGATGTAGTTGGTAAAATTATGAAAGTTTATTGTGAACAGGAAAAGTGGTATAGTTTTTCTTGCTGAACAAGTTTGTAGACATGTAATTCTTAATACTTATCAATATTTTCCTTATTATTATAAACAAACAATAAAACTTTACCAAGTAAGAGATAAGGCTAAAGAGATATTTTTATTAACCTTATCAAATTAAACTCTGAGGAAAGCAAAGAGTTATTTAGAAAGTGTTTAAGAGAAGGCAAAATAGAAGATAATTTAACCCTAAACGGAATATTAGAAAGAGGATATGAAGGATGAGATTCAATCAAACAAAGTTGTTATGATTATTATGACCTTAGAAATCTTTCTCTGGATGAGTTAATCAGTGGTTGGAACGAATTAACTTTTAAAGCTAAGGAAAATTTTGATAAAGTGACTAAACAAAATCAAGAATATAAAGAGAAAATTAAGGCATTAGAAGCAGAACAAGAAAATTTGTAAGCAGAGGGTCCTGCAAATTGATGACCAACAAGGGTATTGATTCAATAATGTGATACTATTGTTTAATAAGTTCACCCCTGAAATTTACTAAGCAAAAAAAAAGAATGGAGCAAAAAAACAATTCAATGCCTGAAATGAATGACATTCAAACTTTCGTCAATGATTCTATAATAGATAATTTATTTGATACAAATAACAATCTAGACAATGCTATTACCCAGGAGTCACATTATTTTCATAACTTGGAAACCGGTATACCTGACATGGATCATAATTATTTATCACAACTTTTACATGCTGTAATGGAATCAGAATCTAAGAAGAGTGCAGTCGATTTTGTTTCAATGTCAGAGGTTGAAAGAATCCCGGCCTCTGAAATAAATGCTTTCAACGACTTTAGACCCTCTTCAGAATCCAATTTTCAGTCTAATAATACTAATGACAAAGAAGAAGACAAAAGTGTAAGTAGCAATGTTGATGTAATTGATTAAAAAACTTTTTATTGAAAAAATAAATATATATAAATATTTATGTATTTAGTCTGTGAATGAAAGCAAACAAGATTTAAGTTATGGCGATGATGATAATAATTATGATAATCCCAGAAATATATCACCAAGTGTAAAATATGCATCAGTAAGAGCCACTATAACAGCTACAAAATCAGGTTTAAATGAAAATGGCATTAATAAATCAAGAAGACTCTGGGATGAAGAAGAGGTTTCTATTTTTCTTAATCATTTTAAGGAGGATTATGCATTATACCAAAAGAACAGAAAAGAATTTTATGAAAAGATGTCCAGTAAATATTTTACATCAAGATCAAAAGGTGCAATTCAAAATAAACTTAGTCAATTATTGGACAAATATGAGGAAATTAAAAGCAATTCGGCTAAATATAACTGGAAATGGTACAGAATTATTGATGATATCATTAAAGAAGATTCCAATTATGCTAATGATCAAGATAATAATAATGATAGTGATAGACCATCTGAAATCAATTATTATAATGAAAGACTTAAATCCAAAAGACTTGTGAAAAGCAAAAGTAATAAATCAACAGATGTTAATTCAGACAATGATGTTAGTGAAGTAGAATCACATGAAGTAATGATTGTTGACCATAAGATAAATAATAATAATTTTATAGAAGCTGGTTATTTTATGGAAGATGATTATGTAAGTGATGGTCATTATGGAACCAGATTTTATAAAAGATTTAAAAGGTTTAATGCAAATAGTATTATTAATCCTCTTGTCAATGACCAAGAAAACAACAAAATTGATAATGGTGTAGTTGAAAATAGAAATTGTATTGGCAAAAAAAGAATAATTGGAATTTCTTCTGCATGTATAATTGCAGATGCTATCAAAGAGTCAATAATGTATAGAGAAAGAATGTGGGAAGAAAATTTGAAATTTGAAAATGAAAACTTGGATAAAGAATATGAAATACAAAAAAACAGAATTGAATTGGAAATACGCCAATTGCAATTTGAGAGACAACAATTAAGACTTGAACATGATAACAAACTTAAAGAATTGGAAGTAAAACTACCTCAATTAAGTCAAAAAAATAATTATTGATTGAAATATTTTCCAAGCATTTAAAAAAAAATCTGATGTTTTTATTTGTTCTCTCTTCTACTAATCTTCTCTTCTCTATTAATCTTGACAATATTTTCTCCCAATTAATAAAAATCAAATCTTCTCCATCAATCATAATTAATCCTTATTAGTATTTATTAATTTTATTTATGCATACAATTATTGTTTTTTTCAGTGTAGATATAGATGTAGATGTAGATGTAGATGTAGATATCTTTAGTTTTTATTGAATTAATCTAGGTTTTTTAATATTATTAATAGTATTATATTAAATAGATCTCTGCCAGTTTTCCTGAATGTTAATGATAGCAGTTTAAAAATTGAAGATCTTCCAAATAAAGGACAATTCCATAAAATTTTTAATTAATTATTGATCAAATTTTTTGTTAAGCTTTAAATCATCAGAGATATTTTTGGAAAAAAAACTTTTACATTTTGTTAAACAATTTAAAGTATTAGTTATTAATCTATTAACTAATTATTTAGTCCACTTCCTAATTTATTTAAAGTACAAGAATTGTTTAATGATTCATTTAAAATTTAAAAATAGTTTCAATAAATTTTCAAATGGTGTTTGTTAAAACAAATCATTAATATAGTGTTCCTAACCGAAAATCAAATTTTTTATGAATATTCAAAAATCAATTTATTCAAGGATATTTGAATATATTAATATATATAAATTTTCAAATGGTGTTTGTTAAAACAAGTCACTAATATGTGGCGTTGACACTGCAATTATTATACATGAAGTCGAAATTAAAACCCCAAAGTTGAAATGTTTCGACTTGAGGCAACTACATAGTAAAAATCAGTTTCAACCTTATTTCAACCCTATTTTGACCAGATCTGCAAATGGTCGAAATAGTTTCGACTTCATGTATATGCATGATATTGTAGGGCTTATTCTCAAGACTTCATAAATAAAAATATCAAGAAATTTCAATTTCTTGAGACTTTCATCATTAACTGAATCTATGCTGGTTGAATCTGGTGGAAAATTTCATTGATTAAATGAACTTTATATTCTAGATATTTATATAAATGATAATCATAGACAAAAAGTGATGCTGTCATCTACATATTTTTTTTTATAATATAAAAACTTTGTTTAGTGAAATTCAAATTTCAATCAAAAATATAATAAGGATTTATCACTCACAGTGCCCTAATAATATTTCAAATACAATTTCATTAATTTCACCATTAGTCATTGGTCATTATAAAGTTTATCATTCTCACTGAAATTATTCTTCCCTAAATCTTTTCTAGTATTTGCATTAATTTCATTATCATGATCCATTATTTCAATTTCTTCTCTCTTTGATTACTCCAAGCAAACTTTTCTAAGATGATTATGGATCAATCTGACTGGTGTGTACAATCTGATAAAAAAACTATTGATGCAATATATTTATGAATTAATTCTAGTATATTCTCATTTTCTTGTAGCAAACTAATAGTAGTCATATCTGATGAATTTTCGTTGTTGTTGATTTGATTTCTCAATTCATTAAAATAATTTTCTAGCATGTAACCTTTTTAGTAGTCATTGTTTTGTATGAGAGACCACTTAATCTTGAAAACCAAGAAGATAAATTAATAAGATAAGCATCATTATTATTCTTTTATTATTTTAAATTCCCGAATTTAATAATTTCCACTTGTGAATAACTATCTTTGACCAAATCAATCATGAAGTCTTTAAACTTGGTGACAAACCTGCATTAACTAAAAATTTACAATTAAATGACCAAGATTCTAGGTCATTTTCATAGTTTTACTGTGGGACACACCCAAGTATTTTAATTTTTGATAAATACAGATGATCTTTCAAGTTTTAAAATTAGGCAACTATTTGTATATGAGCTCAGTCCGATGCTTCAATTTGGCCTTCCAAACATAGTAAATTAGCTTGAGCTTTAAACTGATATATCTCATGCTCTGTGCAATAAAATTTCAAATTCAATCACCAGTTGATAGCTTTACTTAAGATAAACAAAATGATGGTTTTGATTTTTTCAAACTAGAAAGATTATTTGCGCACTTGTGAGCCCACTACACCATGTGATAGCCCTCATTCCATCCAGCTCTTGTTGAGTTTTTTTATTACGTAATTTGAAATTATTGGTTGATTAATAATAAACTCTTAATTAAATCAGCTCTACATAACCATATAAAGCTCCTAACGGGTCGGGCGGGCGAGATTGGCCCGAATCTTTTAAAGGCAAACCCGAAACCGACCCGAAATTTTCGGTCGAGTTTGGGTTGATTTCGGGCTAATAGGAAAATTTTGTGATTTACATAAATTCGGATAATAATAATTAATTAAATATAAAAGGCGAAACAGTTATAGTGGTTTAAAAGCTGCAATTTGTGTCATGCATGACACAAAACACAATTCATGATGCAAGAGATGTAGGGCGCAATTCGCGATGCAAAACGTAACTCAAGGCAATTCGCGATGCAAGACGTAATTCAAGACAATTCGTGACACAATACATAATTAAAGACACAAGGCTAGTGGATGATGGCCGGAACAACATAGCGGGTATTCGATTTTACGAAATGATCAGCATTAGTTTCACAACATATAAATCATATACAAATGACCTGTC